TATGATTATATTTATTGGTTATTTACTCAACATGTACAGCGAGATATTATTCTATCGGTTGAGTTACATTTGCTTCATTTGTGTTTCACAGTAACAGCAGTCACAATTGTGTTAAATTTTGTAAACCTTTCCTGTATCTCAAAGAAAACAGCTCAGCTTTGTATCCTGCAGCAACGCTTGAGGCTAACACCTTATTTAGTCTCCTTTAGCTATATTTTTAAATTAACGGATGCAGGCACCACAAGATTATAAATGCTCTTCGTTAGCAAAAATGACACATTCATTTATATTAAATATAAACCATCATAATCCCATGTCTGTCGTAGGGAAATGTTGTGTTAATTTCTAGGGCACCCAGAAGCCTAACTGATTTGTATTTTCATTACCAGAATCGTTATTGCTGAAAGCTTCAAGATTGACCGCGAACACTGTACTACAGTCACCAAGTTAAGCTCTAAAACCAGCCTAAAATTCCCCGCGAGGCTTGGTAAGGTTGAACTGAAGTACTGGTTCAAGTTCTTCTCCGAACCACGCGAAATGAACCGTTAACTTTAAAGGGGCCAGGTTTTCCCCTCTGGTTGCCTGAAAGCTGAAGGCAACCTACCCGGCTTTTAGCCAGGTTTTATGGTGCAAATTCCAGGTTGATCGGTGTCCTCGCTTTGATATAAATAATGGAAGCAAGCTGGCTGCTGCTGCAAACCCGCGTGGGCAGGGCAGGAAGCGCTCAGCTCGTACAATTGTCTTCGCGCTGCTGAAATGAAAACCCTTTCGGTGCCAGCCTTACAGCAAAGCGTATGCTGGGAATCACACAGACTTGTGAATTGCTTTCCCCCAAGGTTATTTACGACCACGTTATTTCAAATAAGCTTAGTTTCCCTCTGCAAGCTTAGTCGTTGCCAGATAAATCAGCGGTATGTTATGGGTACCGAAATATGTTTTCCAAGCCCTAATCCTGAATACTTTCGAAATTGCAGGCTTAAAAAAAAATAAAAAATAATCCTTTTCGTGCCAGAACACCCCCAATCCTGTTCCCCATACTGTTAAAATAAGCAAAAGCGATGCCTTTCACCGCACCATGGTGTGGGAGTGCTTCTCCCTCTGTCCTTACAGTGTGGAAATAAGCCAGAAATATCTGGCAGCCCCGTCTGCGGTGCCTGATGGGTCCGGCAGTGCGGCCCTATCTGCGCGCGCTAGGTTTCTGCGATCATGGCTGTAAGGCTTCAGACAGCAGAAGGCTGCTAGAACAGTTTCTTGGTGACAGCAGTGCTGCTCCCAGACAGTGCAACACACTTTATTACAAGCTGCTCTGTATGATCTGGGAGAGCTGTAAATCACGACGCTTCTCCTCACTTTCCAAGTTCACTAGGCCAGAAATTAAATCTTCTTTGTTCTACATTCACCTTATGTCTCCTTGTTTTCTCACTTTTTTTTTTTTTTTTTTAACTACCATTTTACTTTACATCTACCAGGAGAGACGTGGGACATAAAATGTAGATGCATCACTGAGCAAAAATGGAAAAGCATCCGCTACTGAAGTTTTTGGAAAATGGCTGATAGTCTTTTTTTAATTCTTTCTACCGCTGGCCCTCAAAGCAAAACTCGCTGTCTTTGGGCGTATTCCTACTGCTGTATGTTCACAGAGGGAAAATATGCAGAGGTCAGCAGTTTCAAAGGCAGTCTTTAATTTTAGGTTCTTAGCTTTGGATATTTTGGGACAAAACTTTGGACACAACAAAAGAAGTGTCAAGGAACTATAAATCTAGATGAAGTAAGTAACACCCAAGACACCTCAAAACAGAGACCCAAAACCAGAGACTCCTCTATTTAAAAAAAAAAAAAAGTTTTACCATTTTCCAGAAAATGTTTTTCTTAGTTCTTGAGGTTTCTATCCTTCCCCACACTTCCCGCTATTCCTATTTTCATATCGCCATTACAGGCAACTCTGAAATTCTCGTACCAATCCAAGGCCTGCAGAAGTCGAGGGAAAAAATTGCACTTTCTTTTAATGCGCATGTGATCGTCTTGAATGCCATGTAAAGTCTGATTTTTTTTTCAAACCAAAAAATGCTCCTTGAAACTTTTTTATTTAGCTGAATTTGTTCTAAATACTTTTAATTGGCAGTGTATTGTTTATTAATGTCTTTTAAATACGCAATTTTCAAAACTTTTTCAATTGCAAACAAAAGACCTATTTAAATTCCAATCATGAAATAAAGCTCAAAAGTGATGATTCATTAAATAATTCTTTGAAAATTAAATATGAACTATGGAAAAAGCCAAGAAGGCCTGAAAGAAAATTAAATTAAAACAGGTTCACTTAAAACTTCTGTCACAGATACAAAAAAAAAAAAAAAGACATTAAAATTATTTCAGGAGCTCGAGCACATTTTCATTGCACATTTCCACTGTGCAATCACATCACTCCATAGCCAGAGATCTGCTTCAACCAGCAAACTACTGCAGGGACAGCTCTCCTGGAAACGGCAAGCCCAAAATTTCTGAAGGACCGCAGTACCTGATCAAAGGAGAGGGAACCATCGCAATCTTTCACTCTGCCAGGAACGGCTGTTCATCTTCAAGTTGAAAGTCAAGAACGAGCTCGGTCCTATCTCTAGGACAGACAAACAGACAGATGTACATATGCCTGTCAGGACATGATAACTTCAGTGAGACTTCAAAAGTCAGGAACTAGAAGAGACTTTTCAGATGCTCTGGCAAACAGCTTCCACGTCACCGACATATATTTTTACATCTTTAAAATGAGCTCTGAAATACAGAAGTCTTGTTTTCCACTGAAATTTTGGTCCAAAGCAGTGGTTTCAGCTTACAGTAACTCTTGCACTGTGGCAGACTGCGGGTTGCTTGTATTGATTCATGGAAGGTAACTAACAAAAGCATCGCTGGGCAAGTTTAAATGTACGGTACTGCAGACGTATGTGTATAGATATGTATACCTACATCCACATATCTTTCATGCTGAATAATATTCCCGTCCACTAAGTACGCAAGTCACCTTTTACGATTTGTAAAATTTTGAAGAGCGTTCTGAAATGCTTTGTGTGTAAAGAAATTAAAAATGCTTTTTGTGTAAAGAAACCAGGCAAACAGATCCTTTTGCAAGCCATTGAAACGCAGTGCCCTCCGACGAAGTAGCTGGACTGTAAATAGAAAATTTTGTATTGTCTTATTGTTTTTTAAGACCTGTGAAGGCATTTTTCTGAACCTGTCCGTCCCTCCAACACGCCAGGCTTTCTCCTTAGTTCTGCCAGTTAATTCAATGCATATTTCCTCTAACTCTGCAAAACAGGTGAAAGGGCTCTTAAGGACCTTGGTTTGAAATTGAGCATGAAATGGATGTATAAAAATAGAGCGTTAACGATCACGTGGCTTTTTGTAACACCGCTGACTATTGCTTTAAACCCCAAAATCCAAAGCAGGTGCTTGGGCACCGCAGACGCGTGGTGTGTTGCACAGATCTTGGCTGTTCTGGGTGCTTGGTGGGGATGACTTGTTGTGCTTTGGTTTTTCAACTAAATGATGTTGGGAAAGCTGAGCAAGAGAAAATTGCATGTTAATTATTATTTAAAAAAAAAAAAGCTAAGAAAAAAAGGCTCATGACTTCTGGTACGTGTGATGTGAAAGGGGGCAGAGGTCCCTCACTGCATGGAGGCAGGAAGGCCCTGCTGCCTGTCCCTACCCCATCTCACCGTGGGGAGCCCAACCTTGCCCTGGACCCCACTCCGGTCCAGGGCAGGCCCCCTCCCATCACCCGGGATGAGGCGCTGGCCGGCCGCCGTCGAGCATTCCCCTTCCCGGGAGTGCAAGCGCCTGCCCCC